GTCATATATGCATCAAAACAAGAGTTTTGTTTCACTTTGTTATCACATACAAATTTGAAAACAAGCTTTACCAGTATCAAAGCTCTTAGTGATTTGAAACAGGCAGCAAATTTTCTACCATTTTTCCCTTGGCTTGCATCTTGCTTTTGCTGTCATTTCCAAGAAAGTGATCACTTACCATATCTTTATTTTCATAATGTTTTAGATGAGAGATAAGTTTTTTGTTGGGGGTTTGTCTCTAATGATTCATCTATAAATCATGATAATAAAAATAATTCCATTTAGTTAATTGCCAACCTGTTGTAAGTTGTTATTAAAATTTAGTTTCCTACCAGCAATTACTCTTCAGAAATCGTATTTTATTCACTCTGTAAATCTATTGCACTGTTCATAGTGCTATTATACCTGTGACATTGTAATAACAACAGTGAAAATCAAGTCATCTTTCTGCTGACAGAATAAAAGCAGTAAATGTCAAACTAATGAATATAGAGTGGGCATATGTAAATGACCTAGGGGAACAGAGAGGTTCTTAACATTTCTCATTTTAAACATAGATCAACCTGAGTTTCACTGTGTGAAAGACTCTTATGTGTTTCATCTGCACTGGCTGTAACTTGATCAGAAGTAATTTTTAAAAGGGCTTCATATTCTTGCTGAAAATTAAGTCCTGCTCAGTGGAAATGCAGCTTGAGAGGAGTAAAGCTACCGAGCTCCGGGGCGGCCGTGCCCGCGCCGTGCCCAGGGCAGGGATGCGCCGCTGTGTGCCAGCCTCACCTGGCCCTCTGCTCCTCCCCACGGGCTCAGGGGAGCTGCTGGGGGGGATCCTGCCTTGGGCACACCCCGCGTTCAGGCCTGGGCAGGGGCACGGGCTGAGGACACAGCTGTCACCTGCTTGCTTCGCCTCTGCTCCGGAGAGCTGCGCCAACACGCTCAGCGTCTCAAGTACAGCTTTTCTCTGGTGGCATTTCCCACCACGGCTCCTGCTGCTGTTTGTGTCTTTCACCTTTCCTGAATCTGGTAACTGAAACTATAAGAGATGAGATTTGCTCGGAACAACTCAGATGTTACATGGGAAACTGATTTTTTGAGAGCAGTTTCAAAACACGCTGTCTTCTAAAAATCTTTTTTATAATATGTGGAAAAAAAATCAAAATATCATCTCTGCCTTTCTTACAAATTAAAGAGCATTATTGGCTTTTTCGATTCAGCTAGAAATAATTAATATTTATTTGGCTAAATATCTAACTTAGATAAGTGGTATTTTTAACAAAACAATTCATATAGGTATTTCTGTCAACCACAGGAAAAGACCCTGGCTAAAGAAATAAGCATTGATTTGACAAATTTAAAAATAAAATTAAAAACCCACTAGCAAGAATGAAGTACATTATAAAACACCTGAATATAATTTTCTGAGGATGTCCCAAGATAGATGCCCTCATGCATTGAGAAGATTATTATAGGCAAGGGTTTATATTATATAATTCAAGTAGTTGGGCAAAATATGCTGGCTAGTTTGAGCAGTCTTCTCTGGACTGAAATGCCTGTAAATTTTTTTCCACATTCAACCTTCCCTGAAAAGGCTGGAATAGATGAAATCAGCTTTTGTTTAGGAGCCATCAGTCTCAACCTGCTCCATACGGCCCCTGCCAGTGCTCTTTGTAGCAGCACTTGTGCTGAGCAACCAAACCACGCTTTCTTCAGGAGAGTCATTAAAAAGCTCTCATTCTTTCAGTTCAGTGCTCTCCAACAAGTATAGGTACTTTCTTTAGCATTGAATTTAATACAGTGAAGATTTTCCATTAGCTGAGCTGAAAGAACCCAGACATTTTTGTAGATGATAATGTCTTCCATGTATCTAAATTAAAATCACTTAAACAAATGGATTCTGTATTTAATGTAGCATTAGTTCAAAAAAGCACACGAAACAGGGATTAGTATTCAGTAGACTTCTTATTTTATTGTATAAAAGTAATTACCTTTTAAATACTATCCAAATTAACATTTTAATATTCCTCTAGGCTTATACATTTTAAAAGCATAATATAACTTGGTACCTAATACAGAAGAACCCTATTTCCTTTTCTGCTAAATTAGTCTGCTGTATAAATTTGAATAATTTGCAATGTAAGTGGCAGCAATTCTTTTTCTTACAAATAAACTCATATTACAACAAAAGATACTCTATGTTTTCAGCACAGATTAATTAGACTGTGAAGAGCTTAATTTCATCATATTTGTATTTCTTGGTAAGGTATTTGGGGAAAAAAGTCTCTTATGTTACCCATCTTTATGTTTTACCAGACCTTGTCAAGGTAAAATATATGACCTAAAATGGAGTTCCATCTCAGTCCTCCAGTGAGTTTTGCATATTAAAAGTCCAGCTGGCTGAAATAATACATAGAATTCACTTTTATCTTTTAAAATTGAGCTCATCTGACTGTTTACCTAGTATATGTAGATATTATTTTTGTGCTTCCATGTAACTTTTTAATCAGTGTATGTTGTGATAATAAAAAGAAACTTTCTTCTTTTGTCACTGAATTTATTTTTTGCTCAGGTCTGAAGCAAGTTAATCACTAAATTAATCATAATTCAATAAGAACTTTACAGTATAGTCAAGGGGAAAGCTAGGAAAAGGCTTTAAGTTTGTAGAATAAAAAAAGATTAATCTGGAAAAAAACCAGATGATAAGGGAAGTGCAGGAGAAATATAATAAAGGTGTAGTAGGCTTGTCCACTAAATATGTCAGTGGTCTGTTAATCACAAGAGTATATGGGGAAAAGTCAGGGTCAGGTGGGTAGTGAAAGATCAAGAGGTATGCAAGTAAAGTAATTTATTTTATTAAATGACAATGGTAACTGATAAATGCAATGGTAATAATAGGGCAGCCCTGTGAAGATGCAAACTGCTCACTGCCACATCCCAGAGCAGGTTTTAGTGGCAGGGCTAGAGAGGCATTCTCTGCAGACCCAGAATAGTGGTTCTGAGCCTTGCTGCTGGCATCATCCACTCTGCTGCCATTGTATCCACAGCCTGGGCACCTGGATCGTCCCAGGGTGAGGCAAGTCCCTGTGCTGCCCTTGTCGTGGGGGCTACAGGGACTGCTGAAAGCTCAGCTCCTTATCCCACCAGGCTGCCTCATCTCCTGACCTCTTTTGATCAGCTCTATTTCTTTCCTAATCCTCTAAAATATTGTGTGCATTATTTGGTGGTATTTGCACTCAGCCTTGGGTCTCTGTCCTGGCTGCTGTGTGAGTTTGTCACCTCTCAAACCAATGTACAGACCTGACAGTTACAGCAGGAAAAAAAATGAGCCTCATCTCCTATGGCAAAGTATTAGAACTGTGTGGTCCCTCTTGTTCTCTGCATTGTTTGTGTATCTGAAAGACCCTGGGTGAAAAACTTTTTGTGGTAGAACAGGTAGAACTGCAACTTTATAGTTCTGTGATGCCACAACCTGTCCTAAGATAGCCTCATAATTTCTGTGAGATTCTGGGAATGTAATAGGTAGTGAAATAAACAAATGTTTATCAGGTAATAATAGATTCACTACCTTCTTTTCATGAGCAAGTGCCACCCTAAAATACAAGGGACATAAGTGCGTGTGTTTTATATATATATATATATATATATATATATATATATATAGATACATCTGCCTAGAGTTATAGCTCCCTAGCAGCCAAAAGCTCTGACTCATTTGCTTTCTATTAAGTTCCTCTTAAAACACACATTTTCCTTTATGCTTAAAATAATGACATTAAAAACCTCAAATTTTCACAGAAAAATTTTATGGGTAGCTATTTTTTATTTGGGTATTTTTTAAATCCTTTAAAATATTCATATAACATATAATTTTTCCATTTCACTTCAAGTTAAGGTCTTGACGCAGCATCATGAACAAGGAAAATGACAGTCTAATTCATCAAAGTAAAATTGTTTCATTGCCTTTGTGAAATGGACATGCAGCTGAGACCAGAAAGATTGAAAATGAGTTTCAGAGTATGGCCACGGCCCTTCATTTTAAGGCTTGGTTTGTTTTTTGTTAAAAAGTAAACCCCTCCCTCACTTTTTTCCTCTTTTTTCTTGTCACATTTGTGAAACTATTATCTCCCTTTCTCACTAGGTTGAGTTATAATATTATCTGTCAATGTAGTTTTGCCTGCAGCTGAGTTCCTCTGAATGTATTCTCATGAAATGCAGCCAGAACTGGTCCACTGGCCATTGCCAATAACTGCCCCTTTTCCTGTTAAATCCTTCAGGCTGACCAAGTAAAAAAGCATTTCTGTGCCATTCCCTTTGGAAAAGAAAATAAACTGTTTAACTCATTTTGTTTCAGATGCAGAGCTCACTGTGAGCAGTTCTATCATTAAGATACTGAAATGAGCCTTGCTGACTGAGTGAAATGAAAATCTGCCCCTCTGGTGCTCTCCTGTAACCACAGGAGTCATCTCAGGGTGTCAGGATCGTGTGGAGAATAAGGATTAGGCTCTCTGTTCTAGGTTTTACATAGGCTTCACATATATTTGCTTTGCTTCCTATGCTGATTCCTTGCCAATAAGAAATTAATTGGCCTGTTCAGGGATGTCTGACTCCTCATTTAGGCAGCTATGGTGAACTTTTGTATTGAAATAAACAAAGGAAATTGAAGCCCCAATGGAACACGTAGCCACTGGATGATTTACCAGCAGCTTTTTGGTTAAACTGCAAGGATTAAATTATCACAAATCCCACAGCTATGGAAATAAGGCAAGTGCTCATTGAGGTGTACCTTTAAAGAAGACAGACTTTGGGAGTGGGATCGGCTCCTGCATTGTGCATTGTATAACCGTGCATAGTTTAGAAACTCTGAAGGGAGATGAATATGAGAAGCTCAAAAAAAACCCCAACAAACTAAACAAAAAAAAATGTTAAAAGCTATGCTTAAGGAATGATGCCTTGAATCCATTTTCTCTGGGAAAAATGGTTATTTATACTCACCTATTTATTTTTTGTCAAGCCAAAGGGATCTGTTTTAATTATAACAAACCACTGGCAGAAATAACATTTCTTAAACACATTTTCAGAAAAAAAATTAATTCTCTCTCTAGCTAGCCAGTAAGACAAAAAGCAAAGTGCTGTGGAAATTCTCCAGCCTTTTATACATATTTGAATTGAAGTGACAGAAATTTATAAATTGGCAGGTCATGAAAATTACATTAAAGCAAAGCAATCATATTTGTAAATTAGCTGTGGTGTAATACATGTGCATTCTAATTTTGTCCCTTAACTTTCCTCACTGCATAACTGAAAGCAGCTTTTTAAAAAAGTTTGGGAGAACCAACCACATGTATGTAACAAGTAACAGACATTTACTTAATGCAACAAAAATCTTTAACAAAAATTGGTTTTTTATTGTTGTCATTCTCAATCCCATTGCAGGTGTACAGCATCTCTTTAACACAAGCTCTGAAAGCATCCACAGAGACAGCATTTGCCTGAAAACCTCTCTTTTTTAGTACAGCAAAATACATTCAGTATCACTGACAGTCCCTGAATATGAATACCATTACTGGGATCCACAAGCATGGTAAACATACAAATGTTCTTCTACATAGTTAAATGTGGTGGAAATCTGTACAAGTCTTTATTTTTAAGTTTTAGTGTCATTCCCTCCACCCCATGTCAAACTTATTGCTGAAATTATTTGGCTTTCTCAGGCAGAAAGCTATTTTCATTTGTATGTAACAGCATTTTCCTCCATAACAAACAAGATGTGAGTACTTCCAATAGAATTGTATCCAATGTAATCTATTGAGCTCACGGAATATTTTTAGCACACTCCCATCAAAGGAAGATGAAGTACATTTTATAAATCTATCCAGTTCTTCAGAAGCCAATTCTTCATTTTTCTTCTCCCTGGTCTGGCTTGACTTTTTCTGGCTGCTTTGAAGCACATTTGGTCATGACTCTTTTTCCCTGGAGAAATCAGAACTTCTCCTGTTGTTAAAAAAGTGGATGAATTAGATGAGAAATATCCTGGAGCAACTGAAAGCTCTGACCAAATATACCACTGAAATAAATGGAAACATTTCTCAAGAGGCAATTAGATCACATCTATTGAGATAATTCTCCAAAATCCCACACAAATGAGGAAGCTGGGGGAAACCGGAGCATTCTGGGGGCTTTCAGTTCCTTGTACTCATCGTATTTCGGGTTGTTGTGAGAAGTGAGGAAGTTCTCAGTCTGTTTTACACAGTTTAGTGGCAAAACCCCTAAATCCCTTCACTAAATACAGGTGAGTTTGTTGAGAGCCCTGCATCTGGTGCAGCCTTCCAGCCTCTGGTGGCAGCACAAAGCTCCACTTGCCACCGCTCATGGGGACCTCGCGCGAGAGAGAGACAGAGACAGAGAAAGGAGCCAGAGCAGTAACGAAGAATTCTGCCTGGCTTCCATAAAACTGTCTGTAGACAAAGCATTTCTGCAAAACCTTTTCATGGAATTTACAGATTCCTGCCTCTCTCCTCAAGGTGGGTGAAGGGGAGAACCACTCTTGTACAGCAGCTGGCTGAAAGAACACAAACATCTGCAAGGTTACAAGGCAGGGTTTCAGGGCATCCATCCCCAGTCCTGCAGCAAGGTGCTCTTCTGTCTTGCTATAGCCTCCCTCTTCAAACCATGGAATTATTCACACCTCTAATTGTTTCAGGAGCAGGCATTTTTACAGACAAACCCGCATTCTCACTTATTTCAAATGTTTTATTACCTTAAAAGACATTCTAGTAAAAAAATATCCAAATTAAAGGAAGGCTGGTAATCATATCCAAGTTCAAAACTAGATATAAAGACAAAGACATTTTAAATTCTATGCTTCAGGCAATTGTAGATTTTCTTTTAATGCCATTATAAAATTCTGGATTTTATATAATTTTCCCTAGAGATTGTTGTTTCTCTCTTTTGTGGGCTGACAGGAGACTATTTCAGAAAGAGCATACTAATATTAAAAAAAAAAATGTTATTTTGCAGCATTAGCTTTATGTGCATAATTGAACTTCTGATATTTTTTTTTTCTTGTAATGACAAGCGAAAGGTCCTTAGCATGATTTTCACTTGCTGCATTTGCTGCTTTCTTTGAAGACAGAAAAAAAATTCATGGATTTGTCAGCTTTTGCAACTAGTTTTGGGAACTAAATGTTCATTTAATTTGCCTTATTTTGTGTTGCAACCATCTTCAGGATGGTAGATTTTACTGAGGAATCCCTGTTGCTTTTACACAGACCTGGTTAGTTTAGCCAAAGATGCCAAGTTTTCTGAGGCCAAAATGAGTTTATCCAGATGCATTCTGTTATGTTTTTCCATGCTTCAAAAGAGATTTTTCAAAAGGGTTGAACTAAGAATACTTCAGTGGCTTGCTTTCTCTTCTCTTGCAAAAGGTAAAAATAAGTATACTGTAAACACAATTTCCTGGAACTAGCAAGACCACACAACTACTGAATTAAAGAAATATCGTTGATTTTGACTGACTAGATAGAAAAATAAAGGCAAAATATTTATTCAGTCTGGTATGTTGGTTTCTAAAACTGGATGAACTCTTCTGGAAACTTTGACACATTTGTATGCTTTTTTTTCTGAAGTAACTCGACTAGCTGTATCCGAAAGATTGCGAGAGAGAGAAATTATAATTTCAATCAGTAAAGTGACAGTGTTACACAAATCATCAAAATATTACTCTCAGCAATCACCATATATTAATATCTTTTAGAAGTAGCTCAATGGGGGATTTTTAGCTTGCAGCACTGAGAAATGAATCTGGGAATCATAAGCATCTTTTCAGTTTTCAGCAAATAAAAGCCATTCTGTCCTTTTGGAACTATCCCAATGTGAGAAGGGATTCAGTGAAAGAGCAGAGCAGCTGAATTTTGGGTGTGGACAATGACAGGCCCATTTGGCAAAAGTTTAGTAAGTGGATATAGAAAATATAATTCACTTCAGACTCATGCTGAACCCACTCTTTAGTGGTGATAACAACCTTAGAAGATTTAAAACCATGACGAGGGACCTAAGTTTGCATTTCTTGCAAATTTTAAAGATTACTCTTCTGATTCAATTTTTCTTAAGCTATTTTTAAATTTATTTGCTTTAGTCCTTATCTTAAAAAAAAAAACTTGTCCTCACAATCCCTACCTCATCAGCATTTGAAACAAGAGGTGTCTTCTATTCCAAGATATGAATAATTTTGCATATTAAAACCATTCCCCAATTCTCTTAATCTTCTCCTTTCTCTTTCTCTGTGTCTTCCTGAGAAACATTTTAAAAGACAATAATTACTTCTTAAGCAAATTGTGAGGAGGATTTGATGACACATTGATCTTGCACTTTCTTTGAGAATACTGTAATTTAAACAGGGTTTTTTTCCTGAAAGATGAGAAAAATAATATGAAAATTTAATAGCTAGGGAAAGCAGAAAAACCAATGGCATTTCTTCCAACGCCTTCCAGTTCTGCAACTGCAGCATCTTGGTCAGTAATCCAAAACCTTCACTCAATAATGTTCTTTAAATAACATTGCACTATTTGGAGCAATGGCTGCCTGGAAATCTGTTTTCCTGCCAGGGAGAAGGGGCAAAAGAGTGGATTTTGTCTGCATTATTTACAGTATTAATTTGATACATAATTCCCTTCTTTGTCTCATTGCAGTAGATTTATTTGCCACTCTTTGACACATCTTTGTGCAGGTGGTGCTAGCTCTGAACAGAGCATGAAAAACATTGTTTTGCTTTTTATGAAACTGAAATGTGAAGCAATAGAGGCACAATAAGATATTATCATCAAGTCACATGTTTTACTACTCTGCTGTTTCTATTACTCCCCAGTACAGTTGCTGCTGAACAGAGGAGTTTTTCAAGTGCCAGTAATGTGTTACAGTGTGAGAAATAGTGTGTTACAGTGTGAGATGTGCAGGCTGGGAGCTGGTGGGAGCTGGGAAAAGTGTCAGGAGCGAGGCTCCCTCTCAAAAACTGTGCTAAGCAGGCAGGGGGGTACAATTCTCACTTTCTCTTCCCTTGGGCAGTGTTATGCTGGCCTGCCTGTGCTCTGGCTGGCTTCTGGAGTCTTTTATTTCCATTTTTTTCATAACCCCATCTATTTGATTCACCCTTCTGGCTTTCCTCTGGAAACACACGGAGGAACACACAGACCAAGAGCGCCGTCTCTTCTTGGATTTGCTACAAGCACATGTTGACACAGACTTCTCATTCACCCATTTTTGTATTACCCCCTTGTCAGATCTGTAGTGAATTATCTAAGTGAAAAAATGCTATTGCTAAGGTTAGATATTGTGATGCAGTTCAATTTATTTATCTTTTAAAAAAGGAAAATGTCTTGTTCACAAACCCAAACAATTACATCCTTCTTGTTCTTCTTAAAGCCTCTTTCCTTTAGAATTCTGCCTGCAAACTTTCTCTTCTTCTCAGCTTCTTTGTGTGCTTGGGCAGTGGGGCATTCTTCTAATCTTCTCAACTTTACTTTTCCCCTCAAATACAGCTCCATCTAGAAACACCTTCCATTTGTCTATATTTTGATTTGGGTGTATGAAGAAACTTTGTAGTGTTTTGGGGTTTGGAGTATTTTTTCTTTGGTTTTTCTTTTCTTTCCAAACACATCCAGAGACCAAATATGGATGTTTATTTCCAAAAACTTCAAGGATTGGTATAAACACCCTAACAACTCTTATTCCTTCCTGGGCTTTCAATACCTGAAACAGATGGTAGAGGAAAGCTGGACTCCTGCAGGATGTTTTCCCAGAGGAAAACATTTGTATTTAGTGACAGCTGGGCAAATGTCAATTTCTGACTCACAAGGCACATATTCCATTAAAAATAAAAAAAGAGGAAAAGGAAAAAAAGGAGCTGTGTTTGGAGGAAACACAGCTTCTCAGGCATTCCTTCAGAATAAAAATGCTGAAACTTCTGTGCAGATTCTAAAATCACCTTCAGAGTTTTACAGTCCCACTTGGAGTCTTCCCAGATACATTTGTATATTCCTATGTATGTCCTCATATAGGAAAAAAAAAACGTACAGAAGGCCATGGAAACTTCTCATTTATGCTGGAAACAAACAAAGGAACAAAAAAGCTACTCTGATAAGTAATAAAGAAATAACAATTGTTTCATGTTTAATATGGAAAATATGCTTGAGTTAACTCTGTACTCCAGAGCTTGTGGATCTTCTGGGCCCAAATCTCTTCTTGTCCCTGTGAATAATACTGGAACATTTAAAAGAAATTAGACTGTCCCAAATCAGTTTGAAACTTCTTCAGAAAACCCTTTTGAAAATGGAATACAGCCTCTTACTCTACAATTCTGTTCTGAAAATGAGGCCAAAATGTACTCCCTTCTGCAGTGTAGGAATGCATCTAAAATTGCTTTAGCGTGTTTCAGTACACATGGCTCAGCACATCAGCCCTGGCCATGTGCCAGCTAGAGGCTCAAGGGTTTGCAGTTACATCGTTGTGCTTGGAACAAGGGGTCTGGCACTGAGTGCCCCCTGCTTGGCCCAAACGAGCATCCCTGACCTCATTGAAGTCACTTTGCCTTCAGACTTGAGAAAGCAGGGACAGAAGTCAGCCCAAAGTGGGACTTGAGGCAATTTGATAATGAACACATCATCTCCTCACTGATGTTCCAATACCTGAAAAAGTAGACAAAGCTCTGCAGCTTGAAGTCTTTGTTCAGTTATATACCCTTGTCCTCTGCTTCAGTTGGAACATGGTGTGCAGTGCAAACTTGGGCCAAAGAACTCATCTTGATCTTATGAGTTGTTTTATTATTATTTTAAACTATTATAATAGCTCTTAAAATAATAGAGATATTATCTTATTATATCTTATATCTTATATCTATCTTATAATAGATCCTACAAAATCACTGCATGTTATATTAATACATTATGAGTAATATATTAATATAACCAATATGATTAATATTAATTTTTAATAAAAAATTGTTGAACTATTTGGCCCTGCTACACTGACAGAAGAGATCTTAGCAAAGTCAGGAGTAGTAAGATCACATACTTGGACAAACTGCAATGATGGTAGAAAAAGCTAGAACCAGAAAAGTAAATTATCTTTATTTGTACACACGGCAAGGCTTTAAATCACTTTAAGCACAAGTGATGATTAAAATCAGTTTTTAAGGATAAAGTCCAGATGTCTCTGAAGTTATAAGGTCTTATGTTTGTTTTTTCTTTACTGACTTCAGAAGAGAAAGAAGTCCCAGAAAGTAGAATAGCTCTCAAATAGACAATAAATTAACTACTGAAGTGGAACAAGGACTAGCCGTACATCACAGAAATTACTTGTGCACAGACAGTCTCCATCTAGATTAGAGAAGTACTCAGCTGAGAAAGCCAAGAGAATTAAAGAATGAAGAGATGGACAAAGATCAGACAGATCCTGAAATAAACTGCAATCAGACATATTTTTTATGTTAGAATTACAGTACAAGATTACCTGGTGTGGTTTGCACAGCAGCACTGCAGCTAACTGTGCTGCAGGGCTGTATGCAGCAGCAGATGCTGGTCCATGTGACTTTACTCAAACTTTTTTAATCACATTGGAAATGTAATATTTTCTTTCAGTGCCAGAGTTGCTGTGCAAAGGCAATATTCACAAATTTCACAACATAGTTCATTTCCAGGCAATCCAGTAAATTAATGTTTAATGAACATATGGGGTTTTATAATAAAGAATATTTCTAAGGAATAGAAGTTCTTTGATTCAGCTTCTTCTTTAATGATTTATTTTTGTCATACTGAAGTAGAAGGAAATTAACTTTCCACCATTCTCAGGTCTTTATTACAGCAAAGAATCTCTGGGACACAAGGCGCATCCAACATTCAGACCTACTAAACATTTTTTGGGCCAAACAAATAGGTTAGGCCAACTTTGCTTTTTCCTCACTTACAGGTCAAACATCCTGTGCTACATTTCACTTCCATCCTTTTTTATATACCTCTTACACCCAAATTCTTTAGAAGGTGGTCTTGTTTTTCCAGGCTGATTAGGTCTGGTGGGCTCTACCTTGTTTCCCGATGACTGCATTAACTGTGCTCAACTGGTTCTTCCTACAACACTTCTTTCGAACCTGTGGGGGAAAAGCCAATGTGATAAAACAACAAATGATGACAGTAGAGGATGAGTGACCTTACAGAACGAATTCTGGCTTTTCTGCAAGCTTCAGAGCCTCGTGCATGCCTGCGGCCGAGAGCTTGCGGTTGATGTTCCTGTATCTGCATTGCAGCAGGTTGCGATAGGTTGTCCTCAGGTCCCGGTTGAAGAAGGCATAGATAAAAGGGTTAATGAGAGAGTTTGCATAGCCCAGCCACAGAAATGTTCTCTCCACCCAGAGTGGGATGCAACTGCACGCTGTACCACAGATGAAGGGCCTTGCAGTTGAGAGGAGGAAAAAGGGCAGCCAGCAGACTGTGAATGCCCCAACAATAATCCCAAGGGTGGTGGCAGCTTTCTGTTCTCTTTTAAAGATGGAAATGTTTCTCTTGTCGTGCTTTAGGAGTCGTGAAAAATTAGTACATTCTTCAGATTCCTTGTGCATTTTTACAAGTCCATTCACAGAAATCCCTTCCATTTCTTCCAGACGGGGAAAACCAGTAAACTTGTGTTTAGCAGCACTCCTCCTGGCAGCTTTATAAATCTGATAGTACATGAAAAGCATCACTGACATTGGAATATAAAACGCAACTGCTGTGGAGTAAATGGTGTAGCCAAAGTCTTGACTGATGAGACAAACCTTTTCGTCATTCACGTTCTGGGCCCAGCCGAAGAGCGGGGGTAAGGTGATGGAGGCAGACAGAAGCCAGACACACAGGATCATTTTGGCCATACACCTCCCATTCTGCCTTACAGGGTACGTAAGGGGTCTTGTTATTCCCAGGTACCTGGAAGGATAACACAGAGTTACTACAGAGGGCAGGGGTTAACTATCAAAAGTTATTCACTTATTCTGCCCTAGACCAAAATCTTTGGCTAAGTTTTCCATTTCATAATTTTCAATCTTCTCTTTGCATGTACTTCCAACGTGTAAATTCATGTGTCTTTCATGTTGAGGTTTATAATGTTAGTATTCTATATAAGAGATCTTTTATTCCAGAAGGGAAACTCCCATTGGCCTTAACAGGCTGTGATTTCTATGAATCTGTTCAATTTTCATGCACATAAAGCACATTTCGGCTTTTAAAGAAATTCTGAAACCTAAATTTTATTTTGCTACCTTAAGAAATCTTGGAGTATTGAAGAGTGCTCATTCCATGAAGTCTATCACTTTTTGTATTGAGTGGATGGTTATAACAAGCAAGCATTCATCTTCACTCTTCTTATGTATTCAAAAATTAGGAAAAGCCCTGCCACTAAGCTGAGATGATGAGCTGTCTTTCTTTCCTTCACGTTTCAGGCAGGAACAGCAAACTGTGAACTTATACCAAGAGTAGACTATTTCAGTACTAAAATAATTCTTTTTATCATCACTTAATTAGAAAGAAAATATATTTATTCAAGGTCCAAACTTTTCCTGAACAAAGTAAAAATCTGTCCCAGTTCAAGGAGACCGGGGAAGAAAACACAGTTTTACAGACATTAAAAATGTTTATAATAGGTCAATTTCTCATGGAAAAAAAAAATTACATCTCTTGGCAACTTTTCTATTTCCTAATTTGTGGTATTTTAAACTAAGTATCTTTATCTAAGTACAAAAGTATTACTATGGCTCTATATAGCTGGGTAAGAACATCCTAAGTTTGAATTTACTTTCAACTATAGAAAATTTCTGTATTTCCTCTCTAACAATGGGAATTTTCTCTTAGATGGAATCATATGTCTTTATTTAGACCAAAGATGTTTAATTTCAATTTTGGCTTCTGCTCAACTGGAACTTACCTATCAGTTATTGTTAACTTTTCAAATTGTTCTTTTTCTCTTCTTCCATAAGGATTTAGAGAAAATCAGTGTGATTTGTTTTATTATTTGTAATAGAAATTATTTCAAATCAAGTTCCTGAATAATGCTTTGGTTTCAAGAGCTACCAGTGTTTACTCATATAGTGAAAGCTGTGGATTGCTACAAACAAGAACTATAGCAATGTGATTTAAAATATTTTTGAGGAGCATGTTTTCTCTGTCTATTCACTTTGCAGAACAAACACGAGATTTGCCTGGCTCTGTGGAATGCATTGTTAATTTTACTGCAGTGCAGTAGATCATGGCCAGTGCTCTTGCTTTATACAAGCACATGGATATGCTAGAGTTATGGAAGTAAAAGAAACATCATTTATTGATCTGTTCTGATGAGTATCAACAATCCTGTTCAACCATGTCATTGGTTTGATATCGCTGTTGTGACAAGTGTTACACAAAGGACAGACTGGTTTATTGTGCCCTATTCTTGACAGGGTGCACAAGTAAATTACAGCAGGTCAGTATTTTGCCAGTGAATCTGTGCCTGGAGGGGCCATGATCAAGGAATTCTTGTTGGAATTGTCTGGGATCAGAGCAGTGCAGTCCATGGACCTTGCTGCTAAAAAGGGCTGCTTCTTGTGCCCATCAGCATCAACCACTGGCTCAGCAGCCATGGGCATCGTGCAGAGACCATGGAGATTTCTGTGTTATAGCACCATGGCCAAAACCATCCTCACTCCCAAGGAGCCAAGGGTTTTCCAAGGTGCTCCAAGATATGGAAGAGAGGAATTAGTGCAGTGAAACTTCAGTTTAACTAATTAAAGTATACATCACACTGCTTTAAGCAATGCAACTGCAGCAAGGGTGAGCTCCCAGCTGCAGACTTTCAGGGACAAGAGTGGCCTACCCTTAAAATTCATCTAAGAATAGCCCAGTTTAGGTACAAAACAGCTAAACACATCCTTTGTGTGCAAAGGCTTCTTATCATTTACTGTGTGTTGTTGTCAAAAAAATCCTTATCTTCCTTCCTGAAGTATGTACTCCTATAGCTATTACCCAACTGGTCACTAAAAATAACACTTTTGGGGTGAACTTTATTATGTAGCTAAAAACGTTAAGCTAGATTTCTGTAAAAATCAGATCTGTGGGCTGCATATTCTGAGTGCCTAGTGATGCATTCTCATGCACCAGAATATAACAAAAAGAATTCATGAAAGCATAAGTACACTGAAAAGAATGAAAATTCATTAGTTTTGCCCTGGCATCACTTTTTTTGGAGTGTATCTTTTCTTCAGAAATGCTATTTGAAATTAAAATATGTTAATTAGCATAAAAATACACCAGCATCTCTTCTGCCTTATTCATTTTGCTAAATGTAGTATGATAGGGGGAAAGAAGTCAGCAGGCACAAATGAAGGAATGTTATCTTTTAATCTCTCTATATGAAATCCATTACCCTTGAAAACTCATTTGCAACGTCAAAATAATGTAAATCACTACTGTTGTCTAATACACTAGAGAGTGTTCAGGGCTTAATAGATTCATGAACTTCAAAAATATTGTCAAATTCAGTGGGAAAATATGCTTTTTAATGCTTAATCTTAAACTGGTACTTTAATAAAAAATACTTAATCAGCTGAACTTAATATATTCAAGTGTATGTAACACCTTGAGGTCTTATTACTGGGAAAGATTGAAGTCAGAGTCCCTAAAAAGCCCATTTAATGTGTCTCAACTATCCCCCACATGAAAGAAGTGTCTCAGACTTGTTATTCTGAGATTTGCTTCTTTCACATGCCACAGATGTTCATTTTGATCTTGGTGGAGAAGAAACTGTGCCTGGGTTCTCACTTTTAAAAGAAGGGCAATGCTATTTTGTATTCTTCCTGCTCTGAATTTCTTGACTCAGTGGTTCTGCCAGACAGGGCATCTCTCCATGTTACACCCAGCACAGTGAGGTCTGTATCTGGGTTACTCCCCAAAGGCAGATGAATGGCCTTTATTTCTTCTAAATTGGTCATGGCATTTTCCATTCAGCACTGCCTGCTGCTGCATGCAGAACACTGAAGTGCAGGATGCTGTTTCAGCCCTACAAGAGGCACAACACGCACAGCAGTCACGTTCTGCTGCCACTCCAAAGGTGCTGGGTGAGTGGAAAACACTGAGAAGGAAGAAGATGGCACTGCTGTCTAATTGATACAGCAAAAAAGGGTGATGCGAACACTTTTCTGCTGCATCACGTACATGGAAAACAGACCCTTGCTTGGGGAGCTCATAGTAAACAGCAGAGACCAAAAAAGACAGCAAATGGTGAAGGGCAGAGTAAACTTTTTGTTAAGTGTATGTGTATAAACACATGGGCACATCCCTGCCCTGGGTTGCTCTCATGATTTCTTCAGTGTCTCTTCTTCCCCACTGGGGGTTCTGCTGCAGCCCCATTCAGGTGTGAGGCATACACAGTGTGCCCAGCTCTGGGGAGGAGAAATTACCCCATCCTCTTTCTGGAGCTCTGTTCAAACCTGGAAAGGGGTAGACAAAAATTCCTTCCTTTCAGCCACTGCACACAATTGCCATTTGCCACACACGATGAACACCAACAATGTAAAAGGTAAATGAACAAATCCTTTCCTTTTGCTTTACAAAAATGTGATTCCCTGTGATATGGAATTCTTCCCTGGAATCTCTAAATGGTTAGCATTTAATGACAAAAAATTGTCACAGACAATTTAATGTAAAACCATTACAACTATATAGGTCTGTTCCTGAGACAATTCAGTTTGTGAGCTTTTCCATTCTGCCTTTTCTGCTATCAATCCATTACAAAGACCACAGAGAATAGTTTTTGTCCTACAGGGCTAAAAAAACTCCTATGATCACATAGGCAGATGGGTCTAGTCCCCACACCTTTTGAAATATCCAGGAAACAATCTGAGACTTAACAGCTATATTGACTTAAACAACAGAAAGAAAAGAGTAACAGGATGGTCCAATTTGTGATCATGTGTCCTAAATCTTTCTTTCCTAGCTCCATTATATGGCTAAAATATAAAGAGCACAAGGACTTGCCTGTCACTATGAGCAAAGTCATAGAGCAATAGAAAAGTGTACAGTTAAAAGAATTAATACAATTTTGAAGCTTCCTGCCCAATTCAATAATAAACTGAATGCATTCTGACATCAGCATCACTTATGCAAATGTTGTACACACATGTAAATCCTTTGTTTCTGGTCTCCATGTACTTTATAGACAGGTAGAATTCCAGTCTAGTTAGCCCACATTTATGTCTCAGAATTCACAGACTTGATCTAACAGATTCCAGAATCAAATTAGATCTTTCACTGTCTGACTATGCTTTATGAAGCAGATTGGATTGCAATGGAATAACGCTAGAAACATTATACTGGAGATGATACAGATGAGTATTACAGCTATTTCTGCCAGGAATCACAACATATTTTATCACTTACCATTTGATTAGAAGTTGTGCTTAATATGAGGTTCTGTCAGTTCTCCTATCATTGTATTTTAAGAGGCATAAAACTGCTTTATTCCAAAGACACAACAATGCTTCCTCCTTTGCTGCTCTGTTTCTCTAGCACAGAAGCTTTCTGTCTTCAATATGTATCTCCTTGCAGGAATTCTTTGCAAACCCACATCTATAGACTCCCATCCTGTATTTCACCTGCAATAATAACTTATTCTGAAGAATTGTGCTGATCTACTGGCTTTTCTTCATTGGCTATGATTCTCTCATCATTTTTCATAATTTATTTTTCTATTTGGTTCAGCTCAACATTGAGAGACTCTTCACAAGAATAGGAGCAAAATGCCATTCCTAAAATCTATCCAGCATTGCAAAATATTCTCTCTAGTATAGTAATATATCTAGATAACTTTTTTCCTTTCCTTCAAATATAAATGTAACAAGTTGAAACAAATACCAAATCTATTATTTCTGTTATGGCTGTGTCAAAACACCTAGCAAATA